AGAAATAAAGCAATATTAACCCCGTGTGCCCAGAGCTGGTAGAATAAATATCACAGCTCAATAAACCAAGAAATAAAGCAATATTAACCCCGTGTGCCCAGAGCTGGTAGAATAAATATCACAGCTCAATAAACCAAGAAATAAAGCAATATTAACCCCGTGTGCCCAGAGCTGGTAGAATAAATATCACAGCTCAATAAACCAAGAAATAAAGCAAGATTAACCCCGTGTGCCCAGAGCTGGTAGAATAAATATCACAGCACAATAAACCAAGAAATATAGCAAGATTAACCCCGTGTGCCAAGAGCTGGTAGAATAAATATCACAGATCAATAAACCAAGAAATAAAGCAAGATTAACCCCGTGTGCCCAGAGCTGGTAGAATAAATATCACAGATCAATAAACCAAGAAATAAAGCAAGATTAACCCCGTGTGCCCAGAGCTGGTAGAATAAATATCACAGATCAATAAACCAAGAAATAAAGCAATATTAACCCCGTGTGCCCAGAGCTGGTAGAATAAATATCACAGCACAATAAACCAAGAAATAAAGCAAGATTAACCCCGTGTGCCCAGAGCTGGTAGAATAAATATCACAGATCAATAAACCAAGAAATAAAGCAATATTAACCCCGTGTGCCCAGAGCTGGTAGAATAAATATCACAGCTCAATAAACCAAGAAATAAAGCAAGATTAACGCCACATGCCCAGAGCTGGTAGCATAAATATCACAGCTCAATAAACCAAGAAAGCCCAGTAGATTCACAGTTCACTGATGCATGTAATATGTCTATGTAGCATGCTTTCATACAGGTACCTTGTAAAAAAATGTCATTCTTACATCCTAGACAAACTTTTCCTTAAACTAATACTTTTTGGTAATTGATATTTTATTGTGTACAAGGCTTTGGTACTAAATTATTATTAATAGTAATAATAATAATAATATTTATAAAGCGCCAACTAATTCTGCAGCACTGTACAATGGGACATGAAGGAATGTTGACAAACGATAAAATAGCGAATATACAGAGGAGTCCATGTGCAAATGAAATGAAGTTCTGCATGTTTAGAGGGTGTGACAAAGTGCTAGCCTCCTGCCCTGTGACTCTAGCCCTGGGGTGTATGGCACTTTAAAACTATTATTTGGGCTTATGGACTTCATTGGACTGGTGCTGGCCCTTTAAGCACATTTTTGGGGCATAGTGAAAATTGGAAAAATGCCCCTTTAAAACTGTGTCCCCAGAGTCCCCAGACTGTGAAAATAACTTGTACATGGCTTATTCCCTTATGGTTCGTACCGAGGCTTACCGAACCATTTACTGCACCATTTACCAAGGCTTACCGAACCATTTACTGCACAGACGGACCACACTGTTACGGTTGCCTCCAGGCTGGCTGGAAGTTGGACCGTAGAAAGGATGCTCCCAGCGCTCACCAAAGGACCATCAGCACTGTAGACAACATAACTACTGCGTAGACATCATAAGTACTGCAGACTCCACGAACCACTCGCTGTCTGCTGTCCACCCTGGACCTACGACCAGGCTCCAGGGTCCAGTGGGTGATCTCTCTTCCTTCTGCAGGGCAAAGCAGGATCAAGAACAAGAGCTCTTACAAGAGCTCAGTAGCTAAGGGAGTATGAAGAGCATAACAATCCCTGTAGTGATTATAGCTGTCCCCTACAAACATGAGTCGAGGCTGCAAGTTAGAGGGTCAAGTCATTCTTATTTTTTTGGCACCAAAGGGCCTTCTTTTATTCAGGTTTTCCTTACATAGGACCACCCACAGGGTTTTACAGAACAACCAATAACACACGTACATTACAGAAAACACTCCCAGCAATTACACACAAAATCCTCCCCTCTGCCTGTGATATAATTAGTGTACACAATGGTTAACATACCGTATATACTCGAGTATAAGCCGAGTTTCTCAGCACATTTTTTGTGCTGAAAAACCCCCACTCGGCTTATACTCGAGTCAAGGTCTATATTATGGCAACTTAAATAAAATCGGTGTATATATGGTGAAAAAACAATATAAAACAAAGTGATACAATCACCAGGGTGTGGGTCACTCCACCTCACATAAATAAATGATTAAAAACAGAAAGAAATTTACATTGTCATAATACAGACCTGGACCGCAGGGCTCATTACAAGCCCGGTGGTCCTGTTGGGGACTGACAGCGAGCTGTTACTTACGTTCCTGCAGCTCCTGTCAGCTCCCTTCTCCTCCGTGCAGCTCCTCTGTCAGCTCCATTCTGCTTACAGTGTAAGTCTCACAAGATCAACTTATACTCGAGTCAATACGTTTTCCCAGTTTTTTGTGGTAAAATTAGGGGCCTCTGCTTATATTCGAGTTGGCTTATACGCCAGTATATACGGTAATTATCACAAGCAAGAAAAATACAGTTTTTATACATGTACTATAACATTAAAACCATACATCCAATCTTCATAAAAATTACAATTATATTCAGAATCAGCATACTTTAAATATAAACACAACCAAAAATCACACAAATCCCTCCAGTGGATAAAAAGTTAGATGGAAGTCCTCTATGACCGACCGCAAGCACATTTTCATGCCATAGATTTGGGCTGTGCGGTCGGTCTATTTCAGCCCATCGCCGAATGGGACTTAGTCTCTGCGGCTGAAAGTTCAGTGTGGGAGAAGGTACATGTCAGCGGTGTTCGCGGAAATGTGCAGCCGATTTTAGTTCCATGAATTTGGCTGCACACACCGCTGACCGTATTTGAATGAACAAAGATGGCGCCGCCACATGTTCGTTTGCGCGAACAGCGGCCACCCAGCATTCGGCAATTTACCTACAGCAGGCTCCCAGCCTGGGAGGTAAATTGCCTACACACTTCCACTTCTGGGTGGTCCGCCTGTGTGGTACTTGGTTCAGTAAGCCCCATTTACTGAACCAAGTGGGAAATAGCCAGGAACAAAGGGTTTTAACCAAGTCTGGGGACACTGGGGACACAGGCTTAAAGGGGCAGTGTCAAAATTTTCCCTATGCCCCAAAAAGGTGCTTAAAGGGCCAGCACCAGTCCCATAAAAAGTCCATAAGCCCCAATATGTCCACCGACTGTCTTAAAGGGCCATACACACCTGGTCCATAGTCATGGGGGAGGAGGCTGGCAAATAGTCCAGGGGAGCAGGGCAATTCTGTCATTTAAAGGAACAATTACAAAAGGCATTTTGTAACACACACAGAAGTGGAAGTGTGTAGTCAATTTAACTCCCAGGCTGGTGGTTAACCGCAATGTTAATTGCCGATCGCTGTTAGTCGAAGGGGTTAATTGCCTTTTTTAGTTAGTCGAACGGGGTCAGCGGTGTGTGCAGCCATACCCATGGAACTGAAATCGGCTACACATTTGCACGAACACCGCTGACCCTTACCTTCTCCTACACTCAGTTTTCAGCCACAGCGTCTAAGTCCCGTTCGGCGATTTGAACACACAGTGAGACTAAGCTATTTGCACGAACGGTGCCCCGTTGTTGCATGCGAATAGGACTTAGTCATTTTTCTGAGGGAAATTGACCGACCGCACAGCCCAAATCTATGGAACTGTTTTGGGCAGGAAAGCATGCCTGCGGTCGGTCACAAAGGACTTCCGTCTAACTTTTTAACTACTGGAGGGATTTATATGATTTTTGGGTATGTTTGTATTTGAAGTATGCTGAGTAATAATATGGAAATTGGATGTATAGTTTTAAAGTTATAGTAAATGTGTAAAAAGTATATTTTTCCTGCCTGTGATAATTACATTAACCCATTGTGTACAGTAATATCACAGACAGAGGGAAGGATTTTGTGGGAATGAATGGGAGTGGTTTACTGTATATTACGTGTTCTATTGTTTGTTCTACAAAACCCTGTGGGTGGTACTATGTATGTAAAACCTATATGAATGAAAGTCCTTGGTGCTGATTAAAAGAGATCTTCTTGACCCTCAACACGCAGTCTTGTCTCGTGATTGGAGGGGACAGCTATACTCACACTGGGGATTGTATACTCCCCTGAACTTTAATCACTTAGTTCTTCTAAGAGCTTGTTCCTGATACGCTGTCCTGGAGGAGAAGTCTTTCCCACACGGTTCTGGAGGACATTAGCTGATCCAGGTTGGAAGGAAGACGGCGAGACTCCAGTTAAGCTACGGCGATTGTGGAGTCTGCGCTGGTTGTGGTGTGCGGTGCTTGTGGTCCTCGGTGCAAGCTAGGAAGCATCCATCAATGGAAGGTACTCGGTCGGAGTACAGGTGATTCTGTTACAGCAGGCAATTACGTAAAGGCTAACATTGAATAGAAAGTCCAGATTAGGCAGGTAATCCAAGAGAGCTGGATTTTTTCGAAGGCATCATAAGAAAGGCCAGGTGAGGGCTTTTCACATGGTTCACAGGAGAAGAATGAGACTGTATGAGAAGACCACTTGTTAGCAGCAGAAGTGATATAACTGAAGTACTGAGAGATGTCCCTAGACACCGAACTGTAAATAATGAACTCGCTGCAATGTCCCCACCTGGTCTACCAATAGATAAGCAAAGAAAGAAACACAGCACTGGTTAGGAATGGAACAAATCCATCCGCCAGGTTGTGATGGTTGAAAGATACAATGGGGCCTAACCCCTAAAAGTGCAAAGAGAAAATAGGACTAATGGGTTGCAGATTATAAACAATCTGCCTCCCAAAAAGACCTTGTATCCTTATATGAAAAAAAGCTACTCTGCAATTATAAATATAAAAGTGGAGCGCAGAGAGCAAAAAACGAAAAACTCTTTATTAATCCCTCTTGGGGGAGAAACACACAGATACTAAACAAACAAGTAATAAAATTAGGATATAATTAGATAGAATCGACTAGTCCAAAATAGTAATATGGTCAGAAGAAATGCTATAAGTATGTGTGTGGCAAAATTGCCATAAATAGTAGCAAATTGACCAAAAAGGGGGGAGATACACTAAATGTAGCAAACTGAAGATCTTAAAATGCAAAAGTAAATAAACTCTATAATTGGAACACAGAGTATATCAAATGCACAAAAAATATGTGCACAAAGATCTACCAAAATACATTTGCAACACTGCAGGAAAAAAGGCTGCAGTCTAAGTAGCCAGCAATATAAGTGTAAAGCAAACTGCCTAAACAGCTGTAGGAGATTTGGGGGAAGGAGTCCCTAATATCATGCTGGTAATAGACTAGTATCTAATCCCACCATAAATAAATGATAGGACAGTCTGAAAACAAAATAGAATCCTAAATTAAAATCATCATCCGCTTTAGTGCAGTGCTCAACGCGCGTTTCGGCGAAACAAGTCACCTTTATCAAGAGCAATTTGCAGACTGAAGGGAGCCTCTTTTTAAATGTGTTTAAAGCTCCACCCGTAAGCATGATGTAACCATTGTTATCCAATCAGGAATTAGGGGGCGGAGAAAAGTACCAAGCTCAACAGGAGTGAAGCTAATTGTAGATTTAACCCTCACATAACCAAAATATGAATGGAAGCTAGCACATATCTTCTATCTTCATAGAGTGAAGGCACAAAGTGTAAAATGTAAATATAGCTAAACAGAAGAGCTGGCGAAAGTAGCGTATAGATGAACATAACGCTACAGGGTAAAACAAATGGAGCCCATTTAGGGAACAATTCCCTAGTAATCATGATAAATATCACAACAGTGGCACTACATGTATGAGTATGTCACACAGTGTAAAACTCATCACATATAGTAAACATGTAATAATTGAACACCATGTGTGACTTTGTATGTCTTAATAAACTCGATCATGTAGTAAATATAATGAGCCCAGAGAAAACAACATTAGAGGGATATTCAAAATTATATGAATAGAATAATAAATTGGGGCATAGAAACATAAGCCCCACAGTGTGGTTAAAATAGAAAATAAAGTGAACTCAAAAAATAAAGAGGGAGAATAAATATTGATTCAAAGAGAATTCGTTAAAGTAGAAATCCTGTATTGACTTGAATAGCAAATTGAAAAGTACTCCATTAATGGTAAAATGAAAGGAGAAATGGAGATTGAAAAAATGAAAGAATGAATAAATGAATGGAAAGTGTAGTATAATATATCCCTATTCACATATCATGTAATGTTAGTGGAAATAACTAGTAAGTTACAAAACTAAAAAGTAGTAGGTAGTAGTGGAAATAGATATTAATGATGGACAGTTTATCAAAACATTACAGTTTTTAAAGTTTTTAAATTTTAAATTTTTACATTTTTAAATTTTTAAATGAAGGGGGCAAAAGAAAAACCTTCATTGAGACCTTTTGGGTAAAGTGTTCTAAGTTGATAAATCCAGAGGCTTTCCCGTTGTCTCAGGAATCTGTCATAGTTACCCCTACGTTTATCCTTGCGCACCAATTCCAATCCACAAAACCGGAGTCCCTGCGGATTGCCCGCATGGAAGTCTTTCAGGTGACGACCTATGGGAGTATCAACAGGTAGTTTTGGAGATCTAACATGCTCCTTAATGCGTTCCTTAAACGGTCTGAAAGTTTTTCCTACATATTGTAGCTTACAGGTGCATGTAAGGAGATAGACTATACCAGCAGTATTGCAATTGAAAAAGGATTTAATCCCAAAAGCCTTTTTACCATCGCTATCCATAATAGACTTAGAGTCACGTTTGATGTATTTACACGCGACACAATGGCCACATTGGTATGATCCCACTGTAGGGGTGTGTAGCCAGGTGCGTGTGGGTGAATGATGGAAATGGCTTGGGACTAAAAGGTTCCTAAGGTTTTTGCCTCTACGTGCCGTCATATCCACATTTGGCCCTAATAGCCTTTTAAGATGGACATCATCCAGCAGACACGGCCAGAATTTTTGGATCTCAAGCTTAACAGCCTCTTTAAAAACTGTAATGTTTTGATAAACTGTCCATCATTAATATCTATTTCCACCACTACCTACTACTTTTCAGTTTTGTGACTTATTAGTTATTTCCACTAACATTACATGATATGTGAATAGGGATATATTATACTACACTTTCCATTCATTTATTCATTCTTTCATTTTTTCAATCTCCATTTCTCCTTTCATTTTACCATTAATGGAGTACTTTTCAATTTGCTATTCAAGTCAATACAGGATTTCTACTTTAACGAATTCTCTTTGAATCAATATTTATTCTCCCTCTTTATTTTTTGAGTTCACTTTATTTTCTATTTTAACCACACTGTGGGGCTTATGTTTCTATGCCCCAATTTATTATTCTATTCATATAATTTTGAATATCCCTCTAATGTTGTTTTCTCTGGGCTCATTATATTTACTACATGATCGAGTTTATTAAGACATACAAAGTCACACATGGTGCTCAATTATTACATCTTTACTATATGTGATGAGTTTTACACTGTGTGACATACTCATACATGTAGTGCCACTGTTGTGATATTTATCATGATTACTAGGGAATTGTTCCCTAAATGGGCTCCATTTGTTTTACCCTGTAGCGTTATGTTCATCTATACGCTACTTTCGCCAGCTCTTCTGTTTAGCTATATTTACATTTTACACTTTGTGCCTTCACTCTATGAAGATAGAAGATATGTGCTAGCTTCCATTTATATTTTGGTTATGTGAGGGTTAAATCTACAATTAGCTTCACTCCTGTTGAGCTTGGTACTTTTCTCCGCCCCCTAATTCCTGATTGGATAAAAATGGTTACATCATGCTTACGGGTGGAGCTTTAAACACATTTAAAAAGAGGCTCCCTTCAGTCTGCAAATTGCTCTTGATAAAGGTGACTTGTTTCGCCGAAACGCGCGTTGAGCACTGCACTAAAGCGGATGATGATTTTAATTTAGGATTCTATTTTGTTTTCAGACTGTCCTATCATTTATTTATGGTGGGATTAGATACTAGTCTATTACCAGCATGATATTAGGGACTCCTTCCCCCAAATCTCCTACAGCTGTTTAGGCAGTTTGCTTTACACTTATATTGCTGGCTACTTAGACTGCAGCCTCTTTTCCTGCAGTGTTGCAAATGTATTTTGGTAGATCTTTGTGCACATATTTTTTGTGCATTTGATATACTCTGTGTTCCAATTATAGAGTTTATTTACTTTTGCATTTTAAGATCTTCAGTTTGCTACATTTAGTGTATCTCCCCCCTTTTTTGGTCAATTTGCTACTATTTATGGCAATTTTGCCACATACATGGTGGGATTAGATACTAGTCTATTACCAGCAAGACATTAGGGACTCCTTCCCCCAAATCTCCTACAGCTGTTTAGGCAGTTTGTTTAACATTTATATTGCTGGCTATTTAGACTGCAGGCTTTGTTCCTGCAATGTTGCAAACATATTTTGGTAGATCTTTTGCACATATATTCTTTGTGCACTTGATATACTCTTTGTTCCAATTATAGAGTTTATTTACTTTTGCATTTAAAGATCTTCAGTTTGCTACATTTAGTGTATCTCCCCCCTTTTTGGTCAATTTGCTACTATTTATGGCAATTTTGCCACATACATACTTATAGCATTTCTTCTGACCATATTACTATTTTGGACTAGTCGATTCTATCTAATTAGATCCTAATTTTATTACTTGTTTGTTTAGTATCTGTGTGTTTCTCCCCCAAGAGGGATTAATAAAGAGTTTTTCGTTTTTTGCTCTCTGCGCTCCACTTTTATATTTATAATTGCAGAGTAGCTTTTTTTCATATAAGGATACAAGGTCTTTTTGGGAGGCAGATTGTTTATAATCTGCAACCCATTAGATAAGCAAAGAAGGTAGTCAAAATGAGCTTCAATGAAGGTAGTACCAGTGTGAATCCTGTCTGCCTTTTATCCTCTACAGACTACAAATACCCCATCCAAAAAGTTGCCATCGTTTTAATTGATTTGTGTGAACACTGTGTGTCGGTGACCAGACTCCTCATGGGGCCTATGGCTAAATACAGAGCAATCTTGGATTATCAGACTTTGTTACCTGCTACCTGATCCTGGCTACCAGGCTAACCCCTGTCTGTCTCCATGAAGAATCACTACTCCTCAGGTTAACCCCTATCTCTCTCCATGAAGAATCACTACTCCTCAAGTTAACCCCTGTCTGTCTCCATGAAGAATCACTACTCCTCAAGTTAACCCTTGTCTCTCTCTATGAAGAATCACTACTCCTCAGGCTAACCCCAACAATCCACACTGTAATGTACAAAAAGCCTTTTGCAATGCAGTTTTAAGTCTCTACAAACTTTTTTTTTTTTTTTTTTTTTTACATCATTGGCTCCACCACAAAACGTGTTCAAATTAAGAATGAATCCAAGCGGATGGCATGGAGAACACAGAATGTAGCCCTATGTAACAAGCACATCTTAGTGGAAGGGGGCCTTGACAGAGCTAGGAGGCGGGTGTAGCGGGCCTGCTATAAACCCGGCTGGGTGTCCCAGTGCAGCCACGTCCTTCCCTAGAAGGGAATCAGTTATAATACAGACCCATTTCCCACCACAGTAACTGGACGACACACAGTCCTGGGAGTAAAACAACTTTATTGGCCAAATTCAAGTTTATACTTTTCCCCATGCAAGGGGTGGACCACACTCCATGGGTCGTATAATGGATCCGGAACCCCAGCCCCTTTGTCCCCTGTTCCCCCCACTGTGTCCCTTCCCAGGGGTCTCCTGATGGAAACAGAACTCCAGTCCCTTTGTCCCCTGTTCACGCCACCCAGTGTCCCCTCCCAGGGGTCTTCTGATGGAAACAGAACTCCAGTCCCTTTGTCCCCTGTTCAGGCCACCCATCCTCATGGTTTCCCACCTCTGGTTACAGGGGGGTCCTCATCTCATGAGCCTCTGTACCTGGGATCCCCAGCGCGGGAAAGCTTCATGCCTCCTGGACTCCCAGCTACAGAAAGCCTGCCAATCATCCACTGTCCCCAATGAGTGTCTCCACCAATCGCAGGGACCCCCAGAAAAATAACGTCCGTGAACAACCTCCTGGGTGAAACCAGGCAAGGAAAGCGTCTCCTTTCGGGACAGGGGGGACTCATTACTTCACACTTATGTTGCAAGTTGCCAACATTTTAATTGATTTGATTTGGAACAGAATGAGGTGGGAATCAATCCGTGAATGCTTCCTCTGGACAGCATTCGTCTAACTAACGGGCCGGCACCCAGGGTCGGCATATGCCGAGGCTTCCCTTGCTATTTGTGGTTTTGACACCTCATTACGAGGCATGAACGCTGTAAACCTACATTCTAAATGAGTTGTCAGGGTGGTCCCCATTCGGGAGGTGAATGCATTCCCTTCGTGTAGGACTTCCTGAATGGGGAGCAGACACATTCATACGAAAATAACAGGGAAAGACACAGAATATAATACAGTAATTCACGAACAGGCAGCGGTCCCGCCACACACCTCCCCCTTAAGCACAAGCCTGCACACACAGTCTGATCCCAACAGATCGGCTTGTGGATGTCTGGGGGAGTGCTTACGGCTGGGTGGTCCA